GCGTGGTTCAACAATCCGTCGGCAGAAGTTAGCCCGGGACAGCCTGCGGTCACCGTACCAACCACCACATCCGCCTCACCAGGCCAAAGTAAATAAACGTACGAACTGTAGCGCAACAATCTAGTTGGTCGCGGTCTCGCCCACACCCACGACTATCCCCACACTGTCCGCTGATAGGATGAGCACAGCCGAATGAGTCTTCCACTAGACAATGAAGAGATACACACCTCTCAAAAGCCGCATCGCTGCTACGCCTGTCGTTGTGCCCATCCTTCTCGATCACAGTGAGAGGCGATTTGCCCCCCTTATGTACTTTGGCCGATATCTAGGCTAGACTCGTACGTTCCTCGTCTAAGTCCTACATGGGGAAAGCGGTGGCAGCGTGAAGGTGAAGGCAACCACGGTTGCAGGCGAAGACAGTCTCGAAGGTGCAGGTAAGGGCACAGACACATTTGCCGCCCCCACTCAAAATGGCGGTTTTGATTGTATGGCGGACGTGACTGAGGCGAGGAGCTCCACAAATAGCGGACTGACAACGAGCTTAGGAGCCCGATGACAATCGATGAGCTGCGACTACGAGGCACTCACTATGAACGCGGGGCTGTCGCTTACCAAGGGGGCGCCCTCCCTCAACAGCCGTGCTAGTGAGAATGAATCTTCCGCTAGAACGCAGTAAGATACATTCTCTCTTCAGGCCCTTTCCTCCTCCGATATCCTTCTCCACTGCTACGCAATCCTTGACCCTCGTAGTATCCTACCCTTTACTCAGGCGATCCGCCAACTCACAAAGAAGGAATAAGAATGAAATTTTCCCCGAAACAGGGAAAAGTACATTCGAACTTTTGCACTTTTATTCCCACACGCATCTTGTATCCCTCATAGTGCCACTATTACTACTTTGCTTCCAATTTCGACCGCGCCATCGCGCTCGCCTTGCCATAGAACCCCCGACTAGGATCTCTCCCCGCCCGTTTCCATCAAGGATCGGGAGGTTTCTCTCACTTTCTTTCTCCCGCCTACACTCCCCTCCGCCATGACCCAGCGCACCTCCTATTCCCACTAACCTCTATCCTACTAATTCTTTCGCCTATCACTTCAGATCCGGGGTCGCCCATCTGCAAAACCCCCGATTTGAGTCTCTGATCGCCCATTTTCATTCAGTAACGGGTGAGATCTCTGATCTTGAGACTCCCCTTCGCCTCCTTCCTGACATCGCCACGCACCCCCTTTTTCTACTAGCACCTAGTCCACTAACTTTCTACTGAAACTGACAACGCCACCGTGCTCGCAATAGCCAAAACCCCCCGCCTAACACCAAAATTCCTTCGATTCCATTGGGAATCGAGCGAGCTCGTCAACACTGCTTCCGCCACTACCACCTTCTCCTCGTCCCCAACTCCGAATGCACCCGGGCGTGGCCCCGGGCCTGGTTCATTCCCCACCCCACCTCGTCTCTCTCCTGCCCTTGCCGCTGCGTCCGACTCCCCTACACCGCGCTGTCGGCCGCTTTCGACTCCCTGGCCCCATTGGCTTGCCCCGCCCGTTGTAATTAGCGCATCCCGCAACAGCCCCTGCTCTCTTGCTTTCCCCACCCGTGCTCACCATCTCCGACTTCCTTGCCCCGTGTGCACCCGTCGCAGCCTTCCGCCCACGTTCACTCTCCCCCGTTGCTGCTCTGCTACGCCGACCTGTTAGTGTTACACTTCAACCCGAGAGCGCAACTCGGCTCGATAACGCACCAGCGCGCGTTGTATGCCTGCGAGGGATCCAATGCAACGAAAAAAAAAAAAAAAAAAAAAAAAAAAAAAAAAAAAAAAAAAAAAAAAAAAAAAAAAAAAAAAAAAAAAAAAAAAAAAAAACTTTTCCGCTTTATGCGTGTTGCCCCCCCTCCCGGCACTACCAGCCTCCACTATATCGTTCCAGTCCCTAACGGGTGCCCCTCCAAACTTTAGCCGGGGTAATGCCTTGAGGCGATAACAACGACCGCTCGGCCTTTCTACCCGTTCCATCCTCCTTAGCTCGTACGCACCCGGCGCGACCTGCGTCCGGGTTCATTTTTTTCTTTGATCTCTGCACACCACCCTTGCGCAGTGGCCGATGTAACTTTCCCTATATTATTTCAATTCTAACGGATGTCCCGAAGGACCTAGCCGCCATAGTACCCCACCCGCGGCTCTCCAAAATTCGAACAACCAGCCACAAAAAGAAGATCCTGAACCAGATGCGGGGCTGCTGATGCCCTACCGGTCCCGTGGGTCGGGTCTGTTGCCGCGTCCATTAACAAAACAAGAGGGGAACAGCCCCGTCGGGCCCTCAACCCCTCAGTTTTCTCCACAACGCTCCGCCACTCCATCATCGCCGCATGTTGGCCTCGATCCCCGTGTCTTCGTGGCAATAGTCCGACATCGTAACCTATAGGGCTAAGCCCAAGCCTGAGACAGTTGGGCGCGGATTTCCATATGAAGTGATGCTGCGCCGTGCCTAGCCTTGGAAACAACAGCCTAGACCTTTCCTCTCCTACCGCGGCCGGCGCGCCAACACCAGGCCCCCGCCCCAACCTACTTAGACTGCGTCGTGGCCGCCCCGCACGCCACCCCGTGCGCCAATCCTACCAACGGTCACGCATGCCAACCCAGGGACGAGCTCTTACTCCTCATCCAAGCCATAGCACGGTCCTGGTCGGTCGACTAGACCGGCCACTCACTCAATCAGAAAAAATCACACGCTCGCCTTAAAACTGCGCGCCCACATACCCTTTAGCTTAGTCAGGACGGGTCCCGGACGCGGCCGCAGCTCACCCGACTTATGCCGACCAAACCCATTTGTTTTTCTGTCATTTGCAAAAACCAGGGCGGATACTCTTGTAAGGGTATTCGCGCCGACAGCCTACCGGACTATATTAAGCGACGTCCCCGTCGCTACGCCAAATCAGAAGACTACAAATTCATTCACACTCCAAAGTGCTGACGTGGGCAGAACCAATTCCGATTAGCCGACAGACTCAGGGTTGAGGCCTCCAACATTCCATGTCAACATAACTATATGCTGCCAGGGTTTCAACCTGGGTTTCCGTTGTCCTGACACTAGGACGGGGGTGTATTACGCATCAATACTACAACATAAGTTCCAAGGGTCACCTCAAACCGTCCTCTCCCCTTCGTCCTAGACAAACGCCGACTTTTCGTTGGGTGTCCCAGTTAGACTCTCTCTTGTAAGCAGAGCCATACGAGGACGAGGGCCTTAGACGAGACCTCAGAAGGCACTCTCGCCTCCCTCATGAAAATCCTCACAATTAAGCATATATATATATATATATATATATATATATATATATATATATATATACGTAAATCTCCTCTCATCTCTTTCTGCAATCTAGTACAGAAATGCTAGGTCTTCATCCTGGCCCACCATAGTCTGGTTGATCGAGCCAGATCTACGGCCTACTGCATTGTTGTCTTAGCAGCAGTCCCTTCGTTGGTTATGCAACGATAGGTTTTGTCCTGATAGGCATTCAATCAGGGCGCCCAAACGACTCGACTCGTATCCCTCGCCATCCCACTGAAGTAATTTCCCTGGGGCGTGCATAACCCCTTAAACCTTTACCCCGTTGGTAGGCGTGGGCCCGCAGCCAGGTTCTGCTGGCTCGCAGCCATCCAATAGGGGTTGCGCCCTAGAGGTGCTAACCTTTACCGTTTAGCTTGGTATTTCTCAAAATTCCTTAGGATTAGCACAAGCGTCTAAGCGGTGCGTCGCAAAACAAACTCACAGGGCCACTGCGGGACGGCGCAGGGACCCGCCCCACTTTTAAGGGTATTTACCAGCCCCCTATGGGACAACACAGAGGGCACGGCCCCTTCTCACAATCACAAACAATTTCACCGCTAGACTCACACGAGGCCGTGGCCTATTGACTTGATCAGACACAGCAGACCACACATCCCACGACATCCTTATGCACTGACTTGCGACCTTCTCAGCTCCACCAATGATTCCAACCCGTAACCCTGGTTCCTCTCGTCAGACTTTATCATTCAAATATCGCTTACCATGCCCTTAAATCTATCACCCATTTTTTTACATGAAGGGGGTCTCTCTCAACAGGTCTCCCAGGTGCCCCTCTCTTTACAGGAAGGACTATCACGCGACATGGGTTACACTGCCGTCAATAGACAACATCCCCACCTTCCATAATCCGAGGGGTCCCAATTATAGAACAACTCAACTGAGCAGCCTTCTTATGGGCCGCCTCCCCAATTTAAACACAAAACAACTCGAACTAAGGGGCCAACTTATGGGTCCCCTTCACAACTCAGCCATAAACATTCGGCATGGTAAGCATTTGAGCCTTATAGGCTTGCAAGACTCCTCAGGGTCCTCATACATCTGTCCCAAAACGACCGCGCTGCCTCCTCTTATACCCGGCCGTTCCGCCCGCCCATGGACAGGCCGCACGAGTATACCAAAGAGTAGACGACAATCACAATCACACAATACACATACATGAGATGTATCCCACACATCTCTCACACAAAACCCTCATTCATTGGGATAAAGCCACACGTGTGAGAGTGATTGTGATCGTCACAAGAATAAGTCTCACAGAGTCTGGAATCCAAGATACATTCGGGAGCAAAACATCTCCCTCAAATCTCAATACGACACTCGACTCAAACCCTCAACACACAACTCGTAGGGTGTACTTGGGAACAAAATGCCTGCCCCGAAAACACTCAAATACTCACTCCACTGTCTCACTCCGCAGGATAGACTCACGTCCCAAGTGTCATGGACTCTTAGAACCTACTCAAAGATATAAGTAAGAGTATTTGAGTCACACAACTGAAAATGCAAGTCACTTATGTAGTAGATATAATACAACTACGTCTCATCCCCTAGACCGTATCTCACATAAAGCTCAAGCCGATCACAAACCGCCACCTATGTATATACAACTAGACGGGACTCGCCTGACTAACTCAAAGTATGTACACCCCTATCACGGTCTTTGCGCACAGAGGAACTCTAATCCTACTGTCATATAGACGGACCAGCCCCTACTCACTCATAGCCTCCTGGTTTTGTCTATATAACTATGCCCTACACCCATCTGGAGCCCGCTCTACCACTCGCCCCTGTCGGTCGTACATCCTCCCACCACTCTCTGTCACTCTCCCAGCCGCCTTGTCCTTAAGGAACTTTGGGCATTCAAGAGCTCTATGTACGCCATCCTTACAGAAGAAGCACTGATCGTTTGATCTCCCCCGACACCTCCTCTTCTTCTTCTGGGATCCAGGCAGCAGCGGCGTCTCGCTAGTTTCCCTGCTCATCTCGTGGCTCTGGGGCATACTCCATGACTCTGCCGGCCTTGCCTCCATCATCTGGGTACTCGGCCCTGCTAGCGTCTCATCTCCCCCGGGTCGGTACACTAGAGTGTCCAATCTCACTGGCCTACCCTCGCGGACTCCTCCCATTGCAGTCACCCCCTCGTCCCTATGCAGGTCGGAAGGCTGGGGAGTCACGGCAGTCGCTGGCTCACTCATAACTTCCTGCTGCTGCTCTGAAATGTGCTCTCCCGAGTTAGCTCCAGTAGCCCAAGAGCCCAACTGCGTCCTCAGCTCCCCTATCTCTGGCACGCGCTCCGGGGTCTTCTGTCTCTGAGGTTCTCCTGACGGCATGTCTAACTCCATAGCTACCACCAACTCATCCGGTCGAGACGTCTCTCCCCCCATTGCCTCCGGCTCAGTGGATGCTGCTACTCCCGTAAGGGCACCCTCCTTCACCTCCAAAAGGATCGTAGGGGACTCCTCTGTGGGGACCCCTTCCTCCACCGGAGGTTGGGGTCCCTGCGCCGGCTCGCCCTCAGGGATCTCAATCGTCATAGGGGTGGCTTGTCGCGAGGCCAATTCCATGGGAGTCTTGAAGCTGAAACCTTCTCTCCTCGGCCTCCCGCCTCGCTCCGCCTCTGCTGGTCCAGGAATACCTTCCCCATTCCCTCTGGCTGTGGCGTCTCCGTCGTTCCTTCCTGGCCAAAGAGCCCCTGTACCTCCTTCCCCTGAATACCATACCGACTCTGCTCCGTCCAGTCGATCACCTTAGTGGCCGAGCGCCTTTCTACCATCGCCGCCACGCCCTGGAGCCTCTTCTCCCACTCCGCCTCCTTGGCTCTCATGCGGGTCCTCCACCCCTGGTTTTCTGCCCTCTCTTCTGCCAGTTGGGTGGACAACTGTCCCACCTCTAACCTCGAGGCCGCCAACTCATCGCTGGGCATGGAGTACCGTTGGAAGGACGAGACCGCCACCTCACCTATCCTCCTATCTGCACGCTCAATCTCCATCCTGGCGGCTGAAAATCCCAAGTCCTCTGTTTCTCGTGCCTCGCCCAATCTTGCACTCCCCAGTCCCGCCTCTCGCGACCTCAGGCGAGCAGCATCCCTCTCGCTCTCATAGCCGGCCCAGGCCTCATTAATCCTCCGCTCGCTCGTCGGAGGGTCAATTGGCGGCTTTGGTGGTTCTCCTGCGGCCTCCATCCTAAGCTTTTCCTGGTATAGCTCCTCGAGGCGTACCTGCACCCTCGCGCGCTTCTCTTCTTTCGTCTCCCCCGGTGGCTTCCCTGTCCTCGCCTCGTGGCCCTCTCGCAGTGGATCTCTCTCACTAGTCCCCTCTTCTACGGGTGGCGGCCCTGGCGGAGGCTCACCGGAGGTTGGCACCTCCACTTCCATTCGTGCACCTGTAGGCTCAGTCGGTTGCGGCGCCACAGTGGTAGGTGCCCTCGCCCTCTCGCCCCCCTCTGGCTCCGCCTGCGTTGGGGGTGGCGTAGTAGCTTCCGGTGGGGGCCCCAATACCTCCTCGCTGTCCGGCTCAGGAATTCCTTTAGGCCAATACTGTCGTGCCTGTTCTGGAATCGGGGTAGGAGGAGGGGTATCATCCCCAACAGTGATAACCCCCTCAGTCTGTGGCTCCTTGGGTTCGCGAGACCTTGCCTCAGGCCCCGGCTCGGGTGGCTCCTTCTCTGGCTCATCCTCTATTGGCTCATACCGGGCCGGTCCGCTCTGGTCCGCTCCCAGCTGTGACGCCCCCCACTGGGACGCGTCGAGATGAGCCTCCAACCTGTCGAGCGGCGTCCTCAATGGCACCGTTTCCCCCCCCTCTGGTAACGTCGGCGACGGGCCCCGTAGATTGTTGCCCGTAATTCTGTGAAACTCCACCTGCTCGAGTCCATAGGTAGGGGGTAGCTCGGCCGCCTGAGCTAGCCCCACGGCCTGAACTGGCTCCACCGCCTGGGCGGCCTCTGCTGGCCCCTCTCGCTGTGCCAAGGCCTTTCGGCCCCCTCTGGTCGTAGTGGTCTCTCTCGCCTCTGGGCCCCGTGGCCTCTTACTCCTTTGTCGTCTTTCCACCCTGGGCTCTGGTCTCTCGGGCTCCAGCCATCAGAATGCCTGTCTCAACTGGGCCTGGCAGTCCTCCCAGTCGTGTGCCCTGTCTCGGATCTGCCTCGCCAACGACCTCCCCGCCCTCCGTGTCCAGAGGGGCAGCATCTGCATCCACTCCTCCTGCCCAGTCCCCTGGTCGTGCATATACTGCTCATAGGCCGGGATGAACTCCTCCGCATTGCTTTCCTCCAATCGAATAGGCAATCCATCCGGTCTCATCGGCAAAGCCCTCAGCATCTGCATCCTCGCCTCCACATCCTGCCATGTCAACGCCTCCTCTCGAATGTGCGCAATAGGCTCTTCGAAGCGCCCAACTCCCCTCAGGTGTCGTATCCTCTCCAAGGTAGACCAACCCTCCCGTGTCGCATGTGCCCGGTAGGAGTCCAGAAAAAGCTCTGTGTTACCGTCGTCGAAGATAGGTGTAGACTCCCTCCCAACCGGTCTGCGCGAGTCATCCCCTCCTGATGCTCCCTGAGGCCCCTGTCGTGGCCGCGCGCCCCTCCCGCCCCTCTGCATGGCTGTCTTTGAAAAGTCAGACCTGCACAACAGGCGAGAGAAAGCAAGCAGGCCCACAACAAGGTTAGCCCTCGGTTCATCAGATTTTTATGACAATACACGTGCCTTTTCCTACTCCCTCACCTGTCCTAACCATACCATGCGATACCTCAAGGACCAGTCTACTCTGAGAAAGGTAGGATTCTTTACCTATTCCCTAGCCACGAACTTCTTCAGCCTTGTCTCCGATACCCAATCCTGCCAGCCTGTCCCGTCCAGCTCCTCGATCTGATAGGCCCCAAACTCGCCGCATCGCAATATCCTATAGGGGCCCAACCATCTCTTGTCAAGCTTCCTCGACCATTGCTTTTCCAAAGAGGAGTCGTATAATAATACGGCATCCCCTACTGCCAATGGCTCCTTTCTTACTCGTGCCATTTGATCCCACCTCATCTTATCTTCCATGTGGCTCCTTTCTACCTGACCAGCGGCCTCTCGCAATCTTTCCTCGGCCGCCCCCACTTGCCGCGCCCGAATAATTTGCAGTTCTTCGAAGGACAGGTTCACCTCCAAGTCATGGCGCGTCCACGTCTTCATAAAGCTTTCTATGGGAAAGGTGGCATGCCTCCCGTACCATAGCGTGGCCGGCGCGTACTTGGTAGTCCTCTTTACAGTAACATTCTCCATGAAGAAAGTTGCCCTTAGGAACTTCGACCACAGGTTTGCCCTCTGTCCACTTAGCCAGGAGATTCGTGATGGTACTGTGCCCCCTCTCCACAGGAGCATTCGCTTGAGGGTGTGCGACCGTAGTATAGTTGGCCACTACGCCGTACCCTACAAGCAACGTCCTCACCTCATTGCAGGTAAACTCTGACCATCGATCCATCACGAACTCCCTGATAAAAGGGTACCGCAGGTAGTACTCCTTGATGCAGTTCGCCAAAACCGGGCCAGTCTTCGTCCGGATAGCTCGTCCATCCACAGACCCAGTAAGGTTATCCCATGCATCGAAGATGTAGTTACACCCATTCTCCCCTGCTGGCATGAATAACAGGTTCAGGTGTACGACCGCACCCACTTCCCTTTTTAACCTTGGGTGTAGGGGTTCTCCAGGCCTTTGTGCCGCCCTCTCTTGGTAAGGTATACAGGACCGGCATTATTTGATAACCATCGTCAGCATCCCGTCCCAATGGTAGAGCTCGCTTATCTTTGCGCACGTGGCACTTACTCCTCTGTGCCCCCCTGCTACACCATCGTGTAGGGCCGCTATGATATCAACTTGTCGGTTTCTCCCACGTACGATCCTCCTGGGGTTCACGACCTGCCGCTTTATAAACAAGTGGCCATATCTTACCACATAGAGGTGCCTCATCTTTTGTGCCTTGGCACTCACATCTCTATCCCTCATTTCACATGATAGGAGCAACCCCAATTCCTGGTAGATCCCATCGTACTACCACAAATGTTTTGTCGATTCGAAAGGCCATCGGCATCTAATACATTGTGTAGCTATAGGCATACCCCTCTCAGCCAGCCAAACAGCCGAGGGGGTGGCCATCAGCGAGAGTAGTCACAAGATTGCTGCAGCTCTCTGGTTGGGTAGCTTTTGCATCTGCTCCCAACAGCGTGCGATATCCTGATTGATGGTCGTGTTCTCATATGAGGAGACCCGACTCCAGCGCGTCGTTGCCACCATAATGGGGGCTCTGTTGGAACGTTGCAGCTCATATCCGCCAGCTGAAGTATAGTTAGTGAGCCAGGCTTCCTGTGGGAAGTTTTTCGAGGTCTTCAAAGACCACAATTTTGGATCGAGTCTTAATTGTCTGATTGGGGTGCCCTTTGCCCAGACCGTGCATGACCAGTTGCCTTCGTCATCACACACTTCCTTAACTCTGATCTGGGTTAGGGTCCCAAGTGGTCTGCTAGGTGTGTCTTCTTGATCATCCGAGGTCTCCAAGAGCTTGTTTGAGGAAGGCACCTTGATCCACTGCTGGAAGTTTTTTGATCCATCGGTGTCTATTGAAGTCAGCTTCCAGTATGAGCCCATCAGTTCATCTTGTGCTTGTGGTATCTGCACAGTAAACCATGTCCCCGGGGGAGGAGTCCCTGTAGGACTTAGCAGGAATTTCCATTCCGGGGGGAGGGCGGCCCTCAAGCGGGCCGCTCTTTCCTCCATGTGATCCAAACGGCCGAGTTTTTCTTTCAGATCATCCAATTTCTTCCATTGGCCGGTGAGTTCGTCCCATAGGTCGGATACTCTCAACACGCCTCTCTCAGTCCATTGTCTACCAAACGCGGAAGCTTCACAACCTGCTGAAAATGAGTGTCCTTCCTGGTCTCGGATGAGTGGATTGTCAAAGACTGGTTGCAATAGTACTTCCTCCCTTGTAGACGGGGGGGTCCTCTGGCGTGGGCCCACTGTGCGCCAAGCCTTCAGCACGTCCAGCCAGAACGGCGATGAAGTGTGTCTGCGCAAGTACGAGTCCATCATCATGCATGTCCATACGTCCTTAGTTCTCGAGAGGTTCCAGTCCTGCGCTAGTGTCTGTTCCGCAAGGAGAATCCAGTGGTCTTCCTCCTCGCAGGCTATGGCTTTAATGATCCATTTGATTAACAGCGCAGGGTTCTGCTTGGCCGGGTCCAGAAGACCCAGCCCCCCTTCAGTCGTGCGGCAACAGATCAAGTCCCATGCAACTTTGGAGATGAAACCTGCACTTTCGCCCGCAAATGATTTCCACAAAAACTTCGCTGTCACTCTGCGGACGACCTTCACTAATTGTTTGCCCAAAGCTCTGATAGTACCCACGTACCAGAGAAGGGCGAACAGTGCTACATTTACCACTAAGGCTCGACCAAAGAGGGACAGGTGCTGGGCTGGGCCCCAGAGATTTATCCGGTGCACTATCTTTTGCTGAAGTAGGTTGTTTTGGGCCTCCGCATAGTGCCCGAGGGTGACCTGCACCCCCAAGTATCTCTCGGATTATCCGCCTGCAATTCTTTTCATTCCCTATTCAACTGCGAGAGTGAAACCTTCCGGTGAGAAAAAAACCGACTTGGACCAATTCACTGCGGCTTCGGACAGAGTGAAGTATTCAACCAAACATGACTTAACAGCCTGCAGGGAGTCCACTGTGTTCTCAGATATCACCATCAGATCATCTGCGAGTGCTTTGACCTGACAGTCGAGGTGCTGCGTTGACAGTCCTTGGATGTTAGGGTGCATCCTGATATTTGTGACTAACACTTCTAGTTGGATCACGAAGAGGAGGGGTGCCAGCGGGCATCCCTGTCTGAGTGATCTGGAAAGTGTGAACGGGGCTGAGATGTGCCCATTCACTGCGACTGATGCAGAGGAGAAGACGTATAAAACAGTCACCCAGCGACATAAGTTTGACCCAAACTGCAGGTGCTTTAAGGTAGTAAGAACGTAGGCCCAATTAACTCTGTCATAAGCTTTCTCTAGATCTAATAGCATCACTGCCATGTCTAGATTCTCCTGGTCTATCCACTCCAATGCCTCAATGGTAGTGACGATATTATCGAAAATAAACCTGCCCTGAACAAATGCAGCTTGGTCTCGCTCAACCAGCTGGGGTAGACATCTACCAAGTCTATTTGCTAAGAGTTTAGCTAAGATCTTATATGATACGTTCAACAGTGACATGGGTCTCCAGTTGCGGATTTCCGCTTTGTCTCCCTTTTTGTACATGAGTGTGATAATGCCATGTGTCATGAAACTCGACAACTTTCCACCGGTAAGAACCTCATTGAAAATGGTAACCAGGTGGGGGAACAACAACTTACCGAACTGCGTGTAGAACTCCACAGGCAAACCGTCCCTGCCTGGGGATTTACCTTTGGCCATGCAGTTTACAGTCTCTTCCACCTCTTCCGTTGTGACGGGTCAGTCTAGGGCCAATTTGTCGCTGTTCTTGAGTCTGACTGACACATTGTTCCAGTGATCTGAGTCGACGGCAAGGTTTGAGTCCGGGGGTTCCCTGAGTCTGCGAGAGGTTAGGATATCCTTGAAATAAGTAGCTGCATAATCACATAGAGCCTCAGAGGAGGTGGCCACTCTTGCTGTGGGCACGAATGGGTGGTTGAGCACCTTCATGGACTGTGCGGATCTGTTAGGGAGAAGTTTCAGGAATGCTTCCTTAGTCATCCGATCATACATAGATATACCTTTCACTGTCAACCTTTCAGCCCATTCGTCTTATTTTTCCTGCTGTGCAGCGTCCCATTTATTTAGCAATTTAATCCTTTCGGGTGCCCAAACCTTCGCTAAGATGGGGTGCGCTTGCATGCGTTCTTCAACCCACTGCAAGTCCCTCAAGATATCTGCTTCATCCTTGTTTCGCTCAGCAGCCATAATCCGAGAGAATACATTGAGAATGTTAGCTGCTATGCATGTACCTGCGTCCCACCAATCTCCCAGGGATCGGAAGTGGTGTTGGGCCTTTGGCCAGTTGCCGAAAAACTTCTCTTCTCGGCCTGGGTCCTTGAGATTTTGCACGTTGAGTCTGAAGAATCCATTTCCACGGTCTGATGTGTCCAGCATTTGAAAGGTAAGTTTGACAGGGTAGTGATCTGAGGTTGGATTTCTAATTACTTCGATATTCACGAGAGCATCCCACCATGATGGATTGAGTAGTGCATAGACTAGCCTTCTAAGGCAACCTGAATTGTTACCGTTGCTGGCAACCGAACCCCAGGTAAAACCTGGGTCTGTGGGGTGGACTAGTCTAAAAGCATCACACAGTTCCAGGTTGACGAGAATTCCAGCAAGGAATGGATGTCCGGTGTGCCACCTGACGAGCCTGTCAGGTCATAAAGGGAGCAGTTCCAATCGCCAGCGATCAGCAGGTTGTCCACATCAGGGGCGTACGATACCAGATCTTGGAAAAACTTATTACGCTCTGCTCTGTCCACCGGGGCATACACAGTCATAATGGCCCAGTCGCATCCGAAAGCTGAGAGCTTTACCCAGGCCCACCTGCCCCACAGATCTGTTGCGGAGTCCAGGATTTGGGCAGGGAGGTCTCTGTGCAGCAATATTCCTACTCCACCTCTGATCCCCATTGTTGGGGACCAGAGCTGGGGGCCATCCCACCAGTTACCAAGTTCGGTAATCTTTTTTTCGTTCAGTTTGGTCTCTTGTATGCATGCTATCTGAACTTTCTGACGGTGAAGCCACGCCTTCAGCCTCGATCTTTTACCCCTTCTGGTCGTGTCACATAACCCCCTGATATTCCAGGTGGCTATGTTTAGTCTATCCATTCAACCTGGCGTCCGCGGCCTTTGATTGGATCGGAATGGAGTGTTGTGGGCGAGACCCGACATTGGGGTGGGGACGCGAACCTGATCTGGATGAGGACTTAGAGGAAGCAGTGGTAGCCCATTTATGGGCCAGCAAGTTCTTTAGGTAAATTGACTGCAGAGATTTGTTCCGTGGGAGCTTGCTATTGAGTTTGCTTAGGAATTTGGTGTCTGACACGTTCTGCACCCATATCTGTTGCAGGGAGTCCAAGTCTTCTTCCACGAAGATCGACAGTGGGATCAGTCTCATGTCCTCCATAAGGAGGCCATCTATTTTGTCCGGAGATATGAACGCATCCAGCAATGGGACAAAGACCTTGCAGGTACAGTTCGACATCTCCTGGTAGAATCGTGGGAGGGCCATGTCTGGGACAAGTCTCAGAGGGAATCGGTCACCAAAAATCAGTTTGGCTGCATCTAGGATGGTCTGGGGAGTAACCGGTTCCTCTGTTTTTTGCAATAGGAGGTGCACCTTCGAATTGTCAGGTTGCCAGGCGATGACATGGACTGTACCGTTGATCAGCGAACAGACCAACGACATCAGGTACTTTTCCATCGCAAGGGCTTGAATCTTGGAGGCCGTGATTGCTCTCCTGCTTCTTGACGTTTTGATCCCAGTTTGGGGTAGTTCGGTTTGAGATCTAACAGATCTGACCGATCTAGCAGAGTCCGATTTGCTTGTTGTCAATGATCTGGATGCCTCTCTAGTTGGTAGGCCGACATCCGGTGCTGCCTCTAGCAGGAGTACTTGAGCTGGGGAAGGTTCTGTTCTCATTGTCCTGGGGGCTTTTAGCGGGGATTGGCCACGTGTGCTGCGGCCCTGTGAGTCTACTGCGGAGGTGGCTACTCCTGGAGAGGGGCAAGGGACTGTGGCCAGGCCACTTTCACTCCCCTTCGATTTTCTGGCGTGGATTGGGGCGGGGCGGAAAGGTACGATAGGGGCTGGACGGTCTGTGCCCGGTGGGAGAGGCTCCTGAGCTCCCGATGTTGATGGTCCTAAATAGTACGCCATTGCAGGTGCCATATTGTGCATCGGGGGAATGAACACTCCCTGGGCATGGGGTTGCCATTCCCTCCCCACAGTGTCGTGGTGGTCATAGGCCCCATTCCCATTCCTGGGATCTGGTGAGAACATCGGGTTCATTCTATCCATTGGGTTCAATCTATCCATTGGAAAGCCCTCACTTCCGGAGGGTCCATTTGGGGGTGGTTTGGTAGGCGGAGGAAGGGGGGGGAACTTGCCAGGTGAGGGGCTCCTGGAGTGTTCAGATCTCTGAGGGTCGTGACTCGAGAGTGGTCCTTTGTACTTGGGGATACCTCGGCGAATGCCCTTCCGAACCTCTCGTTTTGATTGTGCGTTGGAGCTGGATACTGAGGACGATTTCTCGTCCTCGTCATCATCCGAATGTGAGGGTCTGTTTCCTCTTAAGTTGCTACGACGACGGTTTTGGTTACTCTTTGAGCGAGTGCAATCATCATCCGAGTGAAAATACCATTTACAGCGTGTGCAGTACGGGGTGGACGCAGAGGCAAGCTTTACTTCCACCATGTCTCCCTCCTTGGTAATTACCCAGACTCTGTCCTTGAAACGATCTCGATATGTGGGGTCGATTTCGCATCTAATATTCAAGAGTCTGGGGTTGGAGTTGAAGCGATCAGGATCATCTATCTTCAATACTGGACGATGACTCGAGACAGGGATGAGCGTAGGTAGAAATAAGCATCCAAAGGCACCTGTACCGCTACTACCCAAAATGTGTTTTCCAATTCCGTTCTCCTAAATTCTTTCCACTCTGCTCTGGGCATCCAAGCTTTTATTTCGAAAACATATCTTCTCCCTTTCAACTTCACTTCTCCTTCTCCCTCATTCACCATCCATTCTGCTACTTCACAGTCCTTTGCAATATAGGATAGTACATTAGGGCCTTCAAACTTAATTCTTCCTTTTCCTGCTGGAGGGTCGAAAATTCCCTCCTTCCGCCATCCGTTCTCATACGAACGGATTATGTCTTCTTTTACCCTTCGTGGAAGATTCCTGGCCTCATCGCGGAAAATGATGACAACGGTTCGTTCTTTCAACCATTTAATTTTGATCTCGTCAAATCGCTCGTCCACTGTGACTACAGCCTCATTCCCTTCTATGGAGACGTCCTCGAATGGAATGTCCTCGGGGCTTTGCCCTTCATCGTAACATAATGAGCATAAGATATGGACTCTATTCGAAGAGTTTATCCTGTTCACTCTGAGGAGGTTCTTCCTCTCTGCCCGCCATTACCAATTCCGCCCCTTCTGGGGCCGCCATCTGTACTATTGGCTATGGATAGTAGGCTCCCTGGGAAGAGGGGTGGGGTAGGTAGTACACAAGGAAATATACTACCGCTTTTATCACACTTTCCCTCGCCACGACGAACAGCGGGGGGGGGCGTGACTACGGTGGCAGAATGGGCCAGAACAGTGGGGTTGGGAAGGAGGGTGGGGGCGGGGCTTAGATCAGCGTGCTATTGAAGGTAGCGGAGCTATGGTCGTAGTTGTGACGAGCGGACGAAGAACCAATCCTCTGCACCACTACTGTTACCTATGTCGGACGTGGAGTCCTTCCTATTCCTTCCGCAGTATCGTGCTTGTCCTGTCTAGTGGGAGGGAAACGCTCACTCTAAACAAAGAAGAGAGAGGGAGAGGGAAGGGGGGGGGTGATCTGGGAGTTTTAGTCACGTAAACTTCTACCTAGGTCTAACGCCGTGGGTGCTAACCCGAGCGGATGGAGAACCCAACATCTACCACTTCTACAGCTACGTGCGTCTGGCGCATATCGCTCCCTGTTCCTACAGCCATTTCCCGCTTTCCCAGTCAAACCAGAAGGAAACATTCACTCAAAGCACTGAGAGTGTGGTCCGATAGGCGCTTGACATGGATTTGGTATCGATTACCCTCTTGGCCCGTACGAGCCTGATGAGTTGTCTTCGCCGCTCTGCCGTAGCACCTTTCTTCAGCGTCGTAATTCGGTTGTCCATGTCCCGAACCTCGGGAGCATGGGGGAGCACCTTCAGTTGTCTACTACTGGTGTCTGGATTCAGGCGGAGGAAAAATGCTTCGTCCTGGACGCAGTCACACTGCCATGGCCGAAACCACGGCTTGCCGCTTTCACCGTGGTAACTCTCGCCGTGGTGGCGAGGGGACCACTCGACGGCCGGCCGGTCACGGAGAGTGAGTCCAGGCGGCGGCGCTAGGCTCCGAGCGCACTACCGGCACCGTAAGGGAGCGCAAAAATTTTTCCTCCGCGCGTTTTCGCGACCGTCTTCCCGGCCGATCTTTTCAGCAGAGCCCGCCAACTCCTAGTCTTCCCTGTACCAGGACACTTCGTCTCCTTTTTCTGTCACTCTGATGGCGGAGGCGCATCGTTGGAAATTCCCCGAGAGGGCGCTGTAGTGGAACGAGGCCCATGTTATCCCGACAACTGGGGGGAAGGCGCTGTAGTGGAACGAGGTCCATGTTATTCCGACAACTGGCGATCAAAATATCTGACTGATGAGGGGAACAAAATGTTCCCCAGGACGTGTCCCAGCTGCTGTCCATCCCACTGCTGCCCGCCACGGTAGCAAGCAAGAGGATGCAAGATGCTGAGGGAGGCGAAAAGTGACAGAAAAGTATGGAAAAGGAAAAAAGTAGATGGCTCGGCGGAATCGGTAGATTTTTTTCGGCTTTTTGCGCGTGAGACAGGCACTCTCGCCACACCAGTACCCAAACGAGAAATCTTCTCACGGGAAATGGCGAGTGCATCTTCCCACAGGGGGTGGCACAATGCATCTGCTATACTATTCATAGCAGCGGATGCATAATGCGACCCTTTGTGGGAAGGTGCATTCACCAGTGCATTCACCAATTTTTGCCTTTCGCGAGCAGTTTGGCGCGGCCCATCGTTACAGAATCTTTTTGCTTTTTTCGACTCCTTCATACGTGGCTTGCTTGAAACAATCACCACACCAAAATGCCCGACCGCGGAAAGGCGGGAGGAGGAATTCCTTTTCGTCAACACCAAAAAGCCCGCGGCCTGCTACAGAAGAAAGAGATCGATGTACGAAAGCTGCGCCGGTAAAAGCGCGCTCGCGGAGCGTAATGTGCATTCCATCTCTGTGCTCTTTTCGCGTTTCCGCGCTCTTTTTCTCTATTATGCACGTCTGCTGGTAAAAGACGACCATCGAGGGTATCGTGCGTAGTCTCTTGTTTATGGTTCCAGACTGGTACCTGTGCTGAGGCGGAGGGGACATATCAGGCGACAGGAGGCTGGGCACTGTTGAGCGGTACTTGATCAATCGGTGGAGCAGACGAGGATGACTATTACGAGATGAATGTGAATGGGAAAACTTTCAGCAGTACTTCGCAGGTGAGGATCGTGATTGCTAGATCGGTTATATGCCTAAGTCAATCACTCGATGTAGGTCGGGTCCATCGTGTCGACATATCCTCTTCTCTTACACGCTTCACTGCCCTAGGTCGGTCGGTGATAAGGCTGGTGTGTTCGAGGACCGTGGGTTTCAAGGAAGAGTTTTGCAGCCGAGGAACGAGGTTGGTGAGGGAGGTGTGTTCTCTCCTTGCACACGTCTCGAGCGCCGGCAGGAGGTGTTAGCTGAATGTCGTGATTTGTTTTGTTTTGTCATGCGCGTGTGCTGAAGATCTTGTTTCTGCTGTTTATTCCGCTGTATGCTTTTCACGAAGTTTGACCGCTTTTTCGTTTCTTTTGTCAAAAGGAAAAAAAAAAGCGAAAAAAGAAAAGATATGACAAAAAGATAAAAGGTCTAACTAATTACTCCAGAGCCGCGACTTCGTATGTATGTATCAAAGGGTCAGCAGTTTGGAAGCAGCGAGGCTCGACCTGTTAACGTATGTAACCGAGGGTAAGTAATTGTGAAGCAGGGAGGGTCGAACTCTTATATGCATGAGAGGGTCGAGCTCTTATATGCATGAACGCAGTGGGCAAGGTACGTCCACTGTCTGTCTGTCCAGGCCACCCGTGCCTCCTTCCCTGGAAGGAAAAGTTTTCTCTCCTGTCCTCGCTCGTTTGCCTCCATCGCTGGTTATGACGTTAGTTAGGTAGCACCGGTGGTCTTTTTGTTGGCCATCGCTGGACACTGTTCGTTTTTCTTTTCGTTCTTCTCTTATTGCTTGAGACTGTTCTGCTCTTTCAGCCTGAGATCGTTCCTCTCTGCGCTTCTTACGTCGGCCGTTGCCGAGTACGGGACTGACGCGTTGCTGTATTCTTGGCGCTCTCTGCCGAAAGTAGTGTGGACGACTTTGGACGACTTATCCTTCCGCAGGGCCTCCTTCGGTGCCTCTATTCCTGATCGTCTGTCCGCCTTACTGTTGCTCGGTCCTGCCCATCACCTTCGGCGAAGGCCAGGCTGCTCTACACACGAGGCTCTTGCCCAACCTTTGTCGTTTCTGTCCATGCCGATCGCTCTCGAGGTATGGGCGAAGGCTGGGTCGACGAGCCATTCGACCTCGAGCTCCCGTCTTCACCCGAATAGAACGCACGGTCATTATCACTGTATCTAGGCTCAAAGCTGCCTCCAATACAGCTGCAACGACCGTACGATCTAGTTGTGTGAAGACGGTAGTGAGTGTGCCGCGTGGCCAGCAAGTCGGATTTAAGCAGGAGTGTAATAGGAATATATACTTTTGGCTTGTTTGTTTTGCGTGTCGTCAACTCTTAAGGATAGGTCTCCTTATCCTGTAGTGTATAACGGGATTTGCGTGACATCGTCCACGCTATCGTCTGCGTGATGATCGTTTCTTTGCAGTTTTCCCCCGTTCTCCCCGGCTCCCCGGTTTCCCCCGTTCTCCGCGTTCCCCCCCGTCCCTCTCTCCTTCCCCTAGTTTTGGCCATTGTTACAATTAATGGTCATCAAACCAGAAGAGGTGCTGGAAGAAAAATTGCTATCGCTTGCGTCTCGTCGCCTCCCCCCCCCCCCTCCCCGCTTTTTTCGTTATATGATTACATCTGTTTTTGTTGCCTTCATGTTTGAACCGCCTTTTTTTTGTTGACTTCGTTTATTCCTGTTGTTCGACTAGTTTCATGGGGTTTCTTTTATTTCCTTTCGTCTTCGATCGTTCACGGTACTGTTTTGCACCGAAGCGAAGTGTTGAGTCCGGTTTTCCCTGGCCGGTGTAACCATCACGACGGCTGTCATCGAAGGTGCCGTTTTTCAAAGATTTTTATGGCCGCTCGTCGCTCAGCTTTAATCCAGATATGACAATCTGGAAAGCACAGGCAGCGCGCTTCTCGTTCTGCTTCCGTTTATTTATGTCCCATCTAAACGAATGCTTGGTGTTCTCGAAGTCATAGAGTGGGCTTTTCTTCCTGCCCCCCCCAATTTTGGCCGATCCCACATCAGTCGGTGTCCTTTTTTCTTCATTCAAAAAGAAGAAAGGAAAACATTGGGGTTTATGTTGGTGGGAGCTGCGATTTGCTTTCGTGTACGTTTGCAATGCACGATTGCTGTTTGTTTGTCGTCAACCCTATCTATGTTGGTGAAAGCAGGCACATGTCATGCGGGGTGGTCGAACACGACCAGGAAAATATGGAATGTGTGTCAAAGTTGGTAACTCCAATATAGGGTCTCGCTCCACTGCTCTCGAAATGTGCAAAAAAAGAGTGAATCTTCCGCTAGAACATGGGAAAATACACCGCCATGCTTTTTGTCTTTTGTGCATGTTGAGAGTTACTGCAGTGGAGCGAGGCTCATGGTATACCTTGTTATGAAAGGGTAGGTGGCGAGCAATAGGGAATGTGCTTGTTTGTTTTTCTGTTTGATTTAATGTGTTACGTTGTATAACGGCAATATGCACGAGTTCTTCGAAGGTTCCAAAAAATTGAAGCCATCGAGCGCATTCAGAAATTCCTCTTGCATTTGTTGATGACGCTTATGAGTGATCATCACCGGTTTCATCCGGCTGTATTTCTCTTTTGCTGTTTCTCCCCTCCCTTACTTTCCCGCTTTCTCCTGTCCCTCCTTTTTTTCATTTGGCCTTCATGGCGTCTCGCTTTTGCGTGTCCGGCGGTTTCCATTATCCGCCTATCCTTCTGTTTTTTTTTGTTTTTTTTTTCCCATCTCATTTGCCTCTTGCCTGTGTTTCCCCCGTCGCGTATCTTCCTCTTTCCCGCTCCTCCCCTACCTACCCTCTCGTCCTCGTTTACCTCATGGCTACTCTGTTGAGTTTCCCTGTTTTACAATTTCCCCCCGTCGCGTTTCTTCCGAGATGTTCTCTACATCATGGCTATTCTGTTGAGTTTCCCTGTTTTACAATTTCTATATCATTTTGCAATATTCAACAGTAAATTGTCTGCCTATAGAAAATAGTAAGAAGTCTATCTTTTACTCTGATACGTGGTATTCATTTCTGCTTCTCTTCTCCCCTCGTCTTATTTCTTTCTCTTCGTGTGCCTGCGGCAGGGCATATCGTGAGGTGGCGGGAGCGTGCGCACGACGACATCGAAAGCGGTGGGCGAGCTGTGCGGATCGGCTCTGGTACTAAGTACAATCACCCTGTCAGAGACACAGAGAGGGAGGGAATAGCCAGAGAGGGAGGGAATAGTGGAGAAGAAAAAGGACAGGCGGCGTTAGGTCTTTGGCTGTGGAGGTGAATAGCCATGACGTCGGCTATGTCGGCGGCTCGGCTGGTTGGCTGCCGGTTGCTCGGAGCGCATTCATCGGGCTTGGGATTTGATCCCTTGGCCTCACGCGACAGTCACACTAGAGCGAGGTTGGGATCCGAGGTCGCGGCATGCCCATTAGTCTCTCCGAACGGACATGGCCATGAAGTTGGGATTCGAAGGGACGTTATGGGGAGCAGTATGGCGTCGAGTAGCTGGCTGCATCGAGGGGAGAGAGACGGGGATAATCTTGGGATTCGCAGCAGATCGTCGAAACGATTGACACCCTTTTCTCCATGTACAAAAATTGTGGGATCGGCAAGCTCAACTCCAATAGGGAGAGCGGGAGACGAGGATGTCGGCGATGGCTCGTTTGCCTCTTCTCCTTCTTCCCCTCCTCCATCTGTCTCCAGCACGCGGATGAATGCCGTCCCCACTTCTGCAGACGCTCTGTTTGCTCAGCCGCACGCCTATAGTGGACCGGCTAAGGTAAGCGAGAAAGGTGCTTTTTTTTTTTCTTTTTTTTTTTCTTGTGGTGGTGGTGTGTATCAATCAAATTGATTATAATTTTTCGGTGTAACAGTTCTAAAGCAAGATCGCATTTTGGCATAATTTAGATACACCGTTATTGCATGACATTGTTTTCTTTCCCCCCCCTCAGAAGTAAAACGATCCAGCTTTGTTTCTTTTTGTTTAAGTGCTTTGTGTGAAATTATTACAATTTGTCGTTTTCCTAAAATAGGACTTCACTCTGGCATAATTGAAAGATATCCATCCAGCTCTGCTGCTACTGCATGCATGGATTGTGAAACCGAAAGTGCGACTTTTTTTTTCCTTCTTTTTTTTTTAATTTGGACCATTTCTCGATTCACGCGTGTCATCCTTGCACGGGGGCCATGCTAACCTTCTCTGTGTAGTTCCAATTTTAACGGGTGTCCCCGAGGACTTCTCAAATTGTTTATTGCAAATGTGCCTTTTCTTTTTTTCAAATTTACTATAAATGAAAAGGAAAATCCTCGATGTCGAATTCCTCTCTACTCCCCGGGCACCAGGGGCAGGGTCCCGCTTGCGTGGATCAAGAGATAAAGGCCGTTGATCTTCGCTATCTACGACCGATATCCCTCTTAATCTGTGCCGATGGTTCCGTGCCCCCAGCGGATTGCAATCCGATTGTGGGTTTGAAAAGGAACTTGACAATAGTGAGGACAAATAAGGAAATACGAGGAAATATAAGGAAATAGCGAGGACAAATAAGGAAATACGAGGAAATATAAGGAAATACAAGGAAAATGCAAGGACATACTCTTCGCACCTGCGCCTTCTGAAAACGCGACAGAAACCGTTAAAAGACAGCGGAAAAGGCAACTGTCATCATACTTGTGCCGTTCAGGCCCTGGCAAGTGCCGGACTGGAGGAGGGGGGGAAAGCATAGCGTTAATAGGCGCACATAGGTATTGGAGTATACACACACGAGGACTTTACTGGGTGTCTCTGACCGAATTTGCGACTACTCCTGCGTGCATCTGGCCGCAATTACGTCCCGAAATGAGTTTGACGATGCCTAGTGTGAGTATGCCCCCAGTCAGTACAAGGCCGCTCGATGAGGAAGAAACGAGAGAAGGATAAGGGGCGTCGCCGCACGGGACACGAAACGAAAAACGAAACGAGCGCATCTTCCTGCAGAAAATGGCCAGGTTCATGGGTTTGCTATAAATAGTAACGAGTGTATTTTGCCACCTCTCGTTTCGTTTTCGTTTCGTGTGCCGTGCGGCGAGACCCAAGATCACGTCCCGAGGTGGTTGTTGCTTCCAGGCGAGAAAACGAAAAGAAACGAGGAACAAAGTTTTACTCGAGGTTTTTTTTGTTCTGTTAGCACTCCATGCCCCCCGCTGTCGCATCCGCCTCCGCAGAGATTGGGAAAGCACAAGTCTGTGGATTCCCTCCTAAGTACCAAGAAGAAGCGTTTCTCTCTTTAATAATATCTCACTCGGAGAGGGTTTGTTGGGAACCTGCGTGTTCTCTGCGGAGTCGTCCTCGTATAGCACGAGAGATCCGCAATCTTAGGCGAGTATGAGAAATTCTCATGCTGTCAACACTGTTCACTTCCCTTATCTTAAAGGAGCTTATGCATGTTCGTCAAAAGTCAGTCATGACCGTCTTTTGTGGTCCCTATCCAGTGCTTATCATATGTCATACAGATGCAACTGTTGTCTTGCCTTGTGCTCTCTCTCTCTCTCTCCTTGTACATCTGGCTTTCCATCGATTGGATTTCCCACTGTAACAAGGGCTGAGCCTCTGTGTGTGTGTGTGTGTGTGTGTGTGTGTGTGTGTGTGTTTCAAGGACCCCCAAACTTTCATTCCATAAACAAATCATCACAGACCATCCATAAAACAGAAAAGGTGTAGATAGGCAATGTAGCAGAAGGTGCAAGGTTGGCCACGTTTGTGTGGTTAAGTGCAGACACGCACGCCCGTCTGCCGCGGAAGCGGCGCACTTGTACAAATACATATTATAATACATAAAATGATGGAGGGCATAGGGCAATACCAAACGAACGACAATTACACAGAACATAGACAATTAGTTGCACCACAACCCCAAAGCTCGCCCCTTCCCCCCCTCCCCAAAGAAGCACTGACCACACCCACAACCCCTAAGGCTTGGTCTGTGTGCGTGTGTGTTCCCCCGTGCCTTGAATCCAGGAGCAAATAGCCAGGTTCTGCTATGACATGGAAGCAATACGCTCCTGTGGTCCTGGATATTTGCTCTGCTTTAAGAGACAACAGAGTATCCAAAGATGTATATAGCAGAACCAAGGTTACTGCTCTGGTGACACGAGTGCCCCAAAGCATGCCCCTTCGGTTAGCCCCTGTTCGGTCCAACTGCCCCTAAGTCAAACACTGTGGAACCTAACTGAATTCACAACCCTGGATTGCTGATAACTAAGGTAATTGCATGGTGGGGGTTCCCTGACCCGGCATTTAAAGAGGTTTATTCTCTGAAAGAGTCGTTTTACTCTTCATGGAATCTAAATTGTAGTGCATATATCCACCAAATTCACTTTAAAGAAAATACAAATCCAGTATATGACTATATTTTTTAAAGCAGAATGAAAATGGTTTATTATGTATTTATTTATGTTCTTAGAAAGAATCAAATTTATTGAATTCAGTCTTCAAAAGATGAGTAAAGAAATTGCATTGAATTTCAGATTCAATGTTCCAAATAGAAGAATCGAACAAAAGCAATTCTGAATGTTGATAGTTGACTAAGAATCTAAGATTATATTCCAATTGTTCTGTTAAGAATCTAAGATTATATTCCAATTGTTCTGTTAAGAATCTAAGATTATATTCCAATTGTTCTGTTACGAATCTAAGATTATATTCCAATTGTTCTGTTTCGATTGGCACCAATTGCAGAGCTTCAAGAGGAGAAGAGCTCCCCCGTCGAGCGAAGAGGAGAAACAACAGCTTCTGGAAGAACGGCGAGCAGAGCTTGTAGCAGAGATAAATAGAACACACGAAGAACATATCTTGTTGGGCGCTATCAAGAAGGTGCAATGAATTTGCATTCATCCTGATTAACTCTGACATGCTGAAATGTCATGTTGCCGTCCCTTCAAACTTCAAAGTCATAAACGTTTTTCTCTCCTCAGACGATTTCTTTCTTCCTCTCGCATGACCATTCTGGAAGGGAACGGACAAAATATGAGCTGCAGATGTGCTGCAAGGCAAATGGGTGTGTACCCACCATGCGCCTAACTGCACATGCGTGGTGGGCCTTGCACCATTCAGAATACATCAATCGAATGCCGTTTCATCAAAACATTGCAGTGATTTAGATTATCTCATATAAGTTTACAATGTAAGGCTGTCTCAATTTTGGACCCATGCTGTTTTGATTTTGGTTCTTTGCATCTGGGCAGAAAAGGGGTCGTTCTGTTGGCAGTCCCCACCACACACACACCTGATGAGTCGGTGAAAGTCTGACGAAACAGTCTGGTGCAGTCATGCTTTTTTTTATTTTAAATATAGCGAATATGACAACACACACACACACACACACACACACACACACATTCCGGTCTTGCTAGCTCTCTGTCTTGGCAGATTTGAGCGGTTAGGATCGGGCTCATACTAGTGAGTTACTCTTTCTCTGTGGATGGATGTTTTTTGCTGGTTTGGCTTTTTATACATGGCCTAATTCTTTGCCCTGTTTTGTAGCATGGGCCGTCTTGTTGATGAAGTAATGTCTGTGGGTGGCCACCAGTTTTTTTCTGGGGTGGGAGTCTGGGGGTTTGGACATAAGATCTCTGCACGGAGGGCTGCCATGGGTTGTCCGGTGAAAATTTTCTGAGGTCTCTGGGATATTGGCATTGTTCTTCCTTTTGCCCCCCCCCCCCGGCCCCCCCTCCCACCTGTTGATGGCACTACAACTGACGTGGTTTGGGGATGGTTATCTTTCTTCTTTTTGGACGGCTATGTTAATCTTCAGGGTCACCTTTGGGAGGAGTCTTCCTTGTTTGCCTTCTGTCAACGTCTATTGTATGAGTTTGATTGGACAGCCTGGAAGTGGTGGACTGAATTTGAAAGAAATCATACACACTTTCATTTCAATTATTCATCTCACTATTTTTTAAAATGAAGATCGCTACTACTTACTCTCGTACAGTGGTAGTAGACTTGACATAGCGCAGTGATGTTCAGAATACAAACTTGAAAATCAAAGCAGGAAAAAAAGGACCTGCGAACATTACACATCTGCTCTACATTTTGGGATAATTGTTTATTTCAAAATCTGAGTTATGCAGAAGAATTGCCCATGCACAGTCGGGCTTTCATTTAAAGTTGATTAATATCTTTGGAATTTTCGTTATGCGTTCGACATAATGGAGCAGGAACTCAAGTTCGGTAAATGGCTGATGGGCGAGCAGCAGTATGCAAAGGCACTTTTGCATTTCGAGATAGCCATGGGCAAATGCGAATTCAAGACTGGAGAGCATGGTGAAGCGGCAATAGGAAAAGCTACTTGTCTTGAAAAACTTGGCAGGTAAGTCAGACACATGCTTCGAAAGACCTTTTCTCGACTCGAGCACACTACAAAATATGATATTGCCGAGAATAAGTCAGCGAGGCAAGAAATAAGAGAGACTACAAAACATGTGTACAAGAGTAATATAATAACATACCATAATGTCAAGAAATACCATGTTTCATAGTCTGTCTTATAATACAAAATGTGGTCCCTCTTTTATTTCTTGGCAATATGGTATTTGTTTACAAGATGATACAAAATACCATGTTTTGTGGTGTCTCTTATAAGAGAGCTTTTTTTTGTAAACAAATAATAAAAAAAAAAACTCAGAATTACCCGGAACCGGCCAGTTCTATGAACAAAAATACTTGGTAATTCGGAGTTATTTTATAGTACTCATTTGCTTCCGTCATTATTTGATCTCAGATCTGTTTACCAGCAGTTACATAGGTATACCATTCAGCCACGTGGGCGGGGAAAGAATCTGTTCGATTTTTTTCCGGTTTAAAGTTTTTAAATCACTACTAGCTCGCTCACTCTTGGGAAAAATGGGAAAACTGGCAGTTACCGTATTTTTTTCCAAACTTTTTTGGGGTTGGACGAGGCTTGGCAGTTGGGCCATGTGGACCCGTTTGCAAAGCAAAAGAAAAACCGAAAGACCATGTTGGGGAAGGCCATGCACAAAGTTGTGCTCACACCAAAACTAACAAGAAAGTGTCTTAACTACTATTGTGCCCTTGTCTTTTGTTTTTTATCAGTGTGCTCTCTTGGTTCATACTTACGTGACAATATATAGTCATCTTCTCCCTCTCTGCCTATGGTTTACGGGGCAGCTCTGTTTGATATATGTATATATATATGTGGGTCAATATGACACACGGGGGTGGGGGCAGCCGCCGCTCAACCTACATTCACGTGGGCGGCCTTGTACGCAAGAGGTTCTGAACAGGGGGAGTTGTAAGAAAGAAGATAAAAAAACGAATTATTTTTTTCTTGTTTTCTTCTGTTTTTTTCACCTTTGCGCTCTGATATTCATGTGACGATATGTGACCTATACTTCGAAACAGTTTGTCCCAGCCCCTCGTTAGTAGTCCTCTTCTCGCTCTCTGCCTACGGTTTACCGGGCAGCTCTGTTTGACTTGGCTGTGACAGACCTTCCTTTGTTTTGTGGGTGTTTTGCTTGCTTGTGATGGGGTGTGAACCGACAGTCTGTAGAGTTTTCCATCTGGTGTGGGTGAGTGATACTCTGCTTTGACTTTTGCCACAGGTACCTTGAGGGCAGTGGTTGGTGCACACCTCAGGGTATCAGTTGTCGGGCAGTCGTTGATGCTTAACCACAGCCAGGGTTAAGGTGGATTATCACTTACAGTGTAATCAGTTAGGGGATTCTGCAGACTGTTGAGGGTTCAGCCTCCTGATGAGTCGGTGAAACTCTGACGAAACAGTTTGCCACAGCCCCTCGTTTGTTGTCCTCTTCTCCCTCTCTGCCTACAGTTTACCGGGCAGCTCTGTTTGACTATATATATATATATATATATATATCCTGGCTGTGGTTAACCATCAACGACTGCCCGGCAACTGATACCCTGAGGTGGGCACTAACCACTGCCCTCAAGGTACCTGTGACAAAAATCGAAGCAGACTATCAGTCACCCACACCAGATGGAAAACTCTACAGACTCTCGGTTCACACCCCATCACAAGCCAGCAAAACACCCACGAAACAAAGAAAGGTCTGTCACAGCTGGAGACTGTTGAGGGTTCAGCCTCCTGATGAGTAGGTAGGTGAAAATCCGACGAAACAGTTTGTCACAGCCCCTCGTTTCTTGTCGTCTTCTCCCTCTCTGCCCACAGTTTACCGGGCAGCTCTAGTACTGCACTGTACCCACATAGTAGCACACAACCAGCTTACATAGTACCATCCCCAGGCCACGTAGTACTTCCTTCCCCCAGCCTACATGGTACTGCAGTCAGCTCAAATACTACTTGACCCATCCCACTACTGCACCCAGCCCAGTAGTTCAGCCCACCCCGGGCACCGTAGCCTCGCCTAATCGGCAGAATGAACGGCAGGCTACCGTATGTTTAAATTAAATTAAATCTAGTCCCCTAATTTAATTAACCTCTTATTGAATTAATAATATTTTAATATGTTCATTACTCATTACTTATCACTCTTCACTTGACTCAAGCCTTTTCTCTAGTGTCCGATTAATCTCTATATTGAAGCGGGCTCTCAAACCCACACGGAATTAATATGCATGCAGCCCAAGAGTGATGCAGCCAGCAGACATACTGCGGCAGCCAGCACACATAGTATCACGCCATGTGATGCATGCGGATCAACAGATGGGCAATGAGCAGAAACCAAAGTGACGAAAGATGCGAATACAATGCAGCAGAGAAGTCTGGAAATTAATCAATCTGATCCGTGTGACTCAGACACATCCACTCACCAATGGACACTCGAGCCACAAGGAGGGGAGACATACATAGGCGAAGTCCCGCCTGGTGTATCACGCAGATGGGGAGAGATGGTCATAGATGATGAGGAGAGAGACGAGGATGAGGAGAGAGAAAGTCGATAATATAGTAGTTGACCTGATAGCAATCCCCCCCAACCCCCAATAGCCCCAAATACAATGTTGATTCTGAACCTGGGAGAAGCCTTCCTGAAATAGTTGCCAAGTCTCCCATCTCTCTGGAAACCAAGGAGGTAGATATGGAAGGGATGAAGAGAATATGAATAATAATAAGAAGAAGAAATATGTATCTTCTTACTCTCTCTCTCTCTCTCTCTCTCACACACACACACACACACACACACACACACACACACACACGCACACACACACACACACATCATATTTGATGTGTGAAAGGTACCGCCTTGAACTGCAGCAGATTGCCGAGTGGAGTCCGGCTCCAGCTGGCACTCGAGTCTCCCAGCTATGACGCCCAGGTAAGTGCTCCTCTGTCCAATGCTGCTGCACAATCTCCACACTCGCCTGAATACCCTTCTAGCCCCTCTACTTCTGCGCTGACCTCTACCCACTAACACTGGCTCTGGCGCTGCAGTCCAGCAGCCGGGTGCCGAGTTGAAATCTGTGATCGGTGGCTGAGTGCTGGCCCAGCTATATGCCGCTGGGCCTACTGGAAGTGCCTGCTCCCTCCACGTAGGGCTGTAGGATCCGTCCTATGATTGCCGGTCCTGGATGCAGGCCCTAGTGGGTCCCTGTTGGATGTCCAGGCATCCTGCTGATGCAGCAGGGCTGGCCCTAATAGGACGAGGACTGGACCAGTCGCTACAGGACGATCCTGTTTTGTTGGTCCGACCATGTGCAGAAGGCCCCTGGGGCTGAATGACGCCTGAAACTTGGGAGCACCAGTATGCCACTGGTTCGAAATGACCCCCCCCCCCCCCCCCCCCCCCCCCCCCCCCAAAAAAAAAAAAAAAAAGACCAGCCAGCATACTCTGAAACGGCACTGTCCGAACCCAGACAAGGCCAGAACAGACAAACATCTCAGAAACGAAATAAAGAACACAAACATAACAGAGAAGGACAAGAGTAACTCACACTGCCCAGAATGTTTGGGGAGCGGGGAAGGTCGTAACCCTGGCTGTGGGTCATCTGATGCTTACATGGAAGGAAGAGCAGAGCCCATTCATCTGGAAGCTTAACAGGAACACAGTTTTCTGACCGAGTACGTAGTACGCTCGGTTTGACAAGCATCAACTTAAGAGTCGGATAAATTAACCGACGGTCGACTTAGAGTCAGATAGATTAACCTACAACCAACTTAAAGGCAGCATACTGCAGCAAACAGTTTATCCGGCTTCTGGTGGATGGTCAACCTTCATCACAAGGGAAGTGGCTACACAACAGCAGCTGCTTTTGTTTGGAGCATCCTATTTTTTATGGATATCTGCCGGCTTGGTACATCTGACTTAGGGAGATTTTTGTGGCTGTTTGTTGAGGCTTGTATTTTAGGGTATGACAGTTGCAACATAGGGCAAACACTGCTTCCAAATGTGATATCAACTTAGCAACTCTGGAATGGAAAAGTGATATCAAGCTGCCTCGCAAGGCTGAGAGGAGTTTCGTACGGAAAAAGGCAGTAGAGAAGCCCCAGCAGCAACAGTCGAAGCATGTCTATCATGGATAGACCAGTGGCAAATCCTTTCTCAGTCATCGAGTGAAATTTACGTTTAACCACCAGTACCTACCCGGGTCGCATGAATATGCACCTGAGGGGCAGACCGTTTCGGCTACTGCGTTAATGGCCGCACCAACCGGTAGGACGCACCAACCGGTGGTTTAAGGCATGCTGTTTCCACAATACAGTATAGTTTCTTTTCAGTTTTTTTGGGAAGACGAAAGAAAGAAAAAAACACGCTGCCCAAAACAAAGTAGACACAAGGGCCAGAATCAGTACAATGGCCCCCAAGGGTGCCCAAAATGAGGGCTGCACAATCTGGCAGGTCTTTGATCCAAGGCTGAGGAGCCATGCTTGCCACACCATGCCACCACACCCATCTACCCCACGAAGTGCTGCACCACATAGCACAGTGCATCCAGCCCAGCTGGCATTGTACATAGTACTGCATTCAGCCCACATAGCAGCACACCTAACCTGCATAGCACCGGAGGCCTCGCACAGATAGCACTGGACCCATTACACGTGGTACTGGAATGAAGCACACATTGGTACTGCAGTGTCCAGCAGACGTATAACTGCAGCCAGCACACATATCACCACACCATGCACATCGCAGAACACAATGGCACAATGTTCCCTGCTGCTACTTGCTACTGCTTAGTGTAGCCGTGACTGGCAATCGCTCATAAAATAAAAATCTGTATGTGGTTATTGAGCATTGCAATGCAAATGATGCCCATCCTGAAACGCATAGCCAACTTTGAGTTTTTTTTAAAGTCAAATTGAAGAGCCGTGGGTAAAGATCAATCAGGATGTTTGGATGATATACAGACCGAAATTGGGGTCTGGATCTGGACATGTGCGGGTGTGGCTTGGATGTGATCATCCTCATTGCAAGTTTGTATGGGCGTCCACTAGACCTGTGGGGTTTCTCTATTCTGTCTTCCAAGTTCCCTGTTTCGACCACTATTCACCTGTGTCAAATTCTAAGTTCCCTGTCTTCTTGATTCTGAGGTGGTCCCCCCCTTCCCTCCCCTTCCCCCCCCCCCCCCTCCCCCTTCCCCTCCTCTCTAAAAGAAGAAGAAGAAGATTGTCAATTGTCCCCGCTTGTCGAATTCAAAATTCCCATCACCTTTGTACTCGTCTGTCTTCATTCCTTTCCTTTCGTTGCCCACTTTTCTGCTGTAGCTTTCTCACTTTTCTTTTTCTGTGGCAGTGTGCTTTTGTGGACGAGTTTGTGGGAGCTGACACCCACCCACCACATGCACGTGGTGAACCTTGCATTCTCTCAAATTTCTTTTTGCCTTTCACTACCTTCCTACCACTACTCCTAAGACTATTTATAGAGGGAACCCCTGCAAGCATAGGGCCTTGCGAACGAGGTAAATCATGTTGCCCCCCCCCCCCCCCCCCCCCCGCACAACAGCGGTGTCATAGATGGGGTGGGGGTGAGAGCATTTTGCCAGTAGCTGCACCTCCCTTTCTCATCGTGACCATTTGTTTCCTATTTAAGATTTTCTCTCTTTTCTTTTTCTGGTAATCGTGGATGATGTGGTCTTTCCCTCCCATTGGTAGCAAGTTTAGTGCAAGCTTCTCTCTCCACGTCCCAGCCATGGTCGGGTCCAACAGCAGTTTAACGGATGCTCCGGGAGAATCAGGGCGGCGTAGTAGGCAGGGATTCCCACCTGACCTGCAGCAGCCATTCCGCAAGCAAAAGCACCAAAAGGAGGACATGCTTGTCCTTTGGCATCTGGAAGTAGTTGGTCAGTCATGCCGAAGAGTCGTAAGACTAAAGACAGAAACAACAAGCGCACTCCACGAAATTTCTGAGAAACAGAGGACGAGGACATAACCATCATTGCACCACGAGCACCGGCTTTTCTTTATTGTCTTCTCTTTTTCTTGTCTGTTTTTCCTGTTGACATGTTTTCTGTTTTCTTGATCAGTGTTTGAATTGAGTGGAGGTACTTCGTTAGCCCAATGCCCAAGTCCGAGCCATTGAGAGCAGAAGGGCTGTGTGATGAAGACTCTCACTTTACTAGCTTGATGACAGTGTTTTGTGTTTGCTAAGGACGAGGAATCCAAAATTCATGGTTATGTCAGACCATGTCTTCTTGCATCTCTCTCCATGCAAAATTTGAGTGTGAGTGAGGGTGAGTGAGTGAGTGAGTGAACGAGTGTGAGTGTGAGTGTGAGTGTGAGTGTGAGTGAGTGTGAGTGAGTGAGTGAGTGAGTGTGTGAGTGTGAGTGTGAATGTGAGTGTGAGTGTGAGTGAGTGAGTGTGAGTGTGAGTGAGTGTGAGTGAGTGTGAGTGAGAGTGAGTGCATCTCAGATTCCTGCTATTTGCTTTGTCATTTGAATGAGTAACATGATTTGCTTTTTCCATCTATCGTATGTCTCCTCGCAGGTTAGAGGAAGCCAAGGTTTTGTATAAGATTCTGACTGCGCATCCATTCCCGGCCGTCAAGAGGAAGGCGCGCCAGTTTCTTTACGGATCGTCTGATCTGCCTGGGAGCAATGATTTGATGAGCAATCCATTTTACACGCTGTACATGCAGAGCTATGGCAGCTACGTCGTGCCGGAAAACGAGAAAAGGGAGGAGACGCCGAAGGAGAAGCTCATGTGGCAGCTACTACCGGTTTCTCTCTTGCTGATGGGACCTTTGTTGGCGTTCTGGCTCATGGTTCGTTCTGTAGACTAAACGCTGAGCACAAAATGAGACAAGTCCCTTGTAGTCTGGCCTTTCGGTGTTGCCTGTCCTCTGGTGAAGACAGTGTATATGCAGTACAAACACGATTTGACGAGTAATTTATTTTGCAAGCTGTACGTGCAGAGCTGTCGCAGCTGATTCATGCTGGAGAATGAGAGAAGGGAGGGAGAAGATGCTGAAGGAGACGCTCTTGTGGCAGCTAGGTACTGCAGATTTCTCTCTTGCGGATGGGACCTTCGTTGGCATTCTGGCCAATGGTACATGTGATGTGGTGGTAAGTGGAGGGTACAAGCGTGATGTGTAAAAAAAAACAAGTCCTTGATACTTTTCACTGTTGTCATATGGTGGATGAATGACAGCTTGCTTCCATTTCCTCTCTAGTAATCAGCGTGCAATCACAGCAAAATCAGTCCAGCCACAGCTTGTGTACTGTATGCTGTACATTATGCACCTTATGAGTTAGCAGAAGTGCATGGAGGGGAGAAGCGGAGGGCGTAGCAAAGGGGTGGTTGCCAGCCTCAAAGTCGTGTTGGTTCCGTCTGCTGGCTACAGCTCATGCTAACGGTTTCCTGGAGGAAAGCACAATGGCTTCCTCTCCAATGGATAAGGCATCAACGAGACATTAACGAGGAGCAGTGCACACAGGGAGGTAGAGGCCAGATGAAGGTGACCCAAGTGCACAGATGGTAACTTCTAAGTGCGCGCGCGCGCGCGCGCGTGTGTGTGTGTGTGTGTGTGTGTGTGTGTGTGTGTGTGTGTGTGGGTGGGTGGATGTGTCTATGTTTAGCTGTAGTGGAAAAGAAACAGAAGTTATATGGGGAAGAATACAGCCTCTGCTTCTTCCCATTGTTCCTCTTTTAGAGGTTTTAAAGATGACAGCGATGGGTGGAGTTTTGGAGCTGGGCGTCCAAGCAATATGGCACCTGGAAGTTGATCTCGATTATCTGATAGACGTTCGGGTTTGAAAGGTCAGATTGGCCATCTGTTGGTTTCAGCGTTTTGCAAGAATTTCCATGAATTCTTGCCAGCTTGTCAATTGTAGAGGGGTAAGAGGGTGGAAGGGGGTGCACACGCAGACACGCTTTTGTGTGCTCAAGCGAGAGAGAGAGAGAGAGAAGGGCGGAAGGGAGTGCACATGCACACATGCTTTTGTGTGCGAGAGAGAGAGAGAGAGAGAGAGAGAGAAGGGCGGAAGGGGGTGCACATGCACACACGCTTTTGTGTGCGAGAGAGAGAGAGAGAGAGAGAGAGAGAGAGAGAGAGACCATGCGCTTTTGTGAGAGAGAGAGAGAGAGAGAGAGAGAGAGAGGCATGACATTTGACTGCTGACAGTACAGAGACCATGCACTTCCGTTATTGCAGATTATTGGACTCTTTAGACTGGCAGATGCTGCTTGGCCTACACACCTGTCCCAAAGTCGTGGCAATGGGGAGGTTGAGCATTGGGGACTGTTTATGTAAAAATTTGTGTATATGTGATGATGACAAGGTTCTTATGTGAACTGTAATGAAGTCGTTTCTCAGAAGAGGTAGTTGGTATGGTTTGTCGGTGCATTGTTTGTGGGGGGAAGACGGTAGTTATTCGCTATTTGAATGAGAGGTACACTAGAGTTGAAAACAGAGGTAGAGCTCGTTTCCAAGCCGAGTCTTGTCACCGTTCTTGTACAAGCAAATTTGCTTGTTTTGCATTCCCCACGTCTCTTTTCTTTTTCCTTTTATTCCTGTTTCATTTTTCCTTCCTTTCCTTTGCCGAGTCAAAGCCGTAATTGCCTGATTTCACCTTGCATTTTTGTTTGAAAATTTGGATGCTTTTTTTTTTTTTTATATTGGTGATTGCATTATGGATGCATTTATTGGTGATTTCACCTCCCACTGCATTTTTGTTTGAAAATCCGGAACTTTTGATTCTTTGCCCCACTGCCTATTGGTGATTGTACTCTCGTAAGGCCTCGTTATTTTTCAGTGTGCCCCATCTTTAGCATCATCCGAAATGTTTCAGTGTATCACCTGTGTTTTTTGAATATCGTAGTCAAAGAAATTGGCGAATAATCACGAAAAAAAAAGAAAAAAAAAAGTACAAAAAAAATGCCTCAATTAGATCAATTTACATATTTCACGCAATTCCGTTGGTTATGTGTATTTTATTTGGAGTTTTTATGTGTAGTGTTAGTCTTTGTTTTAGTTTTTCTCCTGTTTTTTTTAAAGTACTTCTCGTGGGGTGTGTTTTGACACAATAGGCAGTGGAACAAAGAATCATAAAGTTGTTGTTTTTTTTTCAAAAAAAAAGGCACTTCTTTGCATCTATTCATATATTGCATGCTTCTGCTTTCTGAAGCAGACATGGTGTTTTCTGATTTATCTTTTCTGCTTCATTAAAGCACCAGCACCTTTCCCATATATCAGCCGCGAGCCCCTCTCCGCGATTGTCGGAGGGCGGGAAGGTAATATTGACCGTCTATGAAAATTATCAAGGGCGGCCTGGCCCGGAAAGTTGCAGCCGCATACGGACGCATATATGTTTCGCGGGCGGGTAAAGGTACTGTGTAACTGTGAATCTGTGATGCTATCTCCACTTTACGGCCCGGATATCTGTGACAGCATTTTGATTGCTTCATTTAGAAGGATCGACTATGAGTTGAACACCGTCAGTACACGGCCCCAGCCTTGCTTAAACCACCAGTACCTGGGCCATACATCGGCCGCGGGCTCTTCCCGTATACGCGCCGCGACTGCAGGGCCTCGGGGGCGGTTCGGTAGGTCTTTTTCATGAAGGCCTCGCGGGCCCAGTCGGGACAAGGCCGGTAGTAAGAAGGCGGACATAGGTTATGACCGTTTGGGCGAGCTGTACGGACGGACAAACAAAAGAGGGAAAAAAAAGAGCTGTACGGACGGACAAACAAAAGAGGGAAAAAAAAAAAAAAAAAAAAAAAAGGACAGGCGGTTTCCCGCCGCGCGGTGGCCGGTGGGTACTTGCACGTGCGGCGTACAGTCTTCCCGCCTGCCATCGCCCCGCTTCCACGTCCAGCCCGTCGTTTGTTGGGGGAGAGAGAGAGAGAGAGAGCTTGTCGATAGCGCGGCCTTTCGTCAGCGGAAAGGCACACACACACACACACACACACACACA